AGCTTAAAATAACCTAATTTTATACCTCAAGGAAATAGAAAAGAACAAACTAAGCTAAAAGTTAGTAGAAGGAAGGGAATAACAAAGATTAGAATGGAAATAAATGAAATCAAGATTAAAAAGACAACAGAAAAGATCATTGAAACTAAGAGCTGTTTTTTGGAAAAGATACATGAAGTAGACAAACCTTAGCTAGACTTATCAAGAGGAAAAAAAGAGCTAAAATAAATAAAATCAGAAATGAAAGAGGAGACATTATAACAGATACCACACAAATACAAAGTATCATAAGATACTACTATGAATTAGTATCTGCCAACAAATTGGACAACCAAGAAGAGACTGATAAATTCCTATAAATATATAAGCTACCAAGACTGAATCATGAAAACAGAAAATCCAAACAGACAATTACTAGTAAGGAGATCACACCAGTAATCAAAAACAACCCAATAAAGACAAGCCTAGGATCAAATTGCTTCCCTGGTAAATTCTACCAAACGCTTAAAGAGGAATTTCAACCTGCTACAAACGAAGAAAAAAAAAAAAAAAGAAAAAGAAAAAGAAGAAGAAGAAGAAGAAGAGGAACACTTCCAAAATTATTTTATAAAGTCATCATTATCCTGATACCAAAACCAGACAAGGACACTACAAGAAAAGAAAATTACAGGCCAATATTCCTGATTACCATAGATGCAAAAATCTTCAACAAAACGTTAGTAAACCCACTTCAACAATACACTAAAAGAATCACACACCATGATCAAGTGGGATTTATTCCAGGGATGAAAGAATGGTTCAACATTTGCAAACCAATCAATGTAATATACAACATTAACAAAATGAAGGATAAAAAATCATATGAGAGTCTCAATAGATACAGAAAAAGTATTTGCAAAATTCAACATCCATTCATGATAAAAACTCTCAACAAAATGGAAACACCTCAACATAATAAGAGCCATATATAAAAAGCCCACAGCTAACACCATTCCAAACAGTGAGAGATTGAAAGCTTTTCCTCTACAATCAGAAACAACACAAGAGTACCCAGTCTCACCATTCTTAATCAACACAGTATTGGAAGTCCTAACCATAGTAATTAGTCAAGGAAAAGAAATAAAAGACATCCAAATTGAAAAGCAATAAGTAAAACTGTCTCTATTTGCAGATGACATGACATCATATATAGAAAATCCTAAAGATTCCAGCAGAAAAACCATTAGCGCTAATAAATTCAGTAAGGTTGTAGGATACAAAAGCAATATACAAAAATCAGTTGCATTTCTATACACTAACAACAAACTATCAGAAAGAAAAATGAGTGAAATGATCCTGTTGACAACTACATCAAAAAGAAAAATACTTAGGGATATAGTTAACCAAGGAGGTGAAAGATCTGAACACTAAAAATCGTAAGATATTGATGAAAGGAATTGAAGAAGACACAAAGAAATTGAAAGATATTCCATGCTCATGGACTGGAAGAATCAGTATTGTTAAAATGTCCATACTACCGAAAGCAGTCTACAGGTTCAATGCAATTCCCATCAAAATTTCAATGGCATTTTCTCCAGAAATAGAAAAAATTATTCCCAAATTTTATAGAACCACAAAAGATCCCAAATAGCCAGAGCAATCATGACAAAGGAAAACAAAGCAGTAGGCATCAGTATCACATGGCCTGATTTCAAACTATATTACAAAGCTATAGTTATCAAAATGGTATAGTATTGGCATAAAAACAGATACGTGGATCAAGGGAACAGAATACACAGCCCAGAAATAAACCCATGCATATTCAGTCAACTAATATCTGACAAGACAACTAAGAATACTTAATGAGAAGAAGATAAGTGTCTTTAAAAAATAATGCTGGGAAAGCAATATTCACATGCAAAAGAATGAAACTGGACCCCTACCTATATCACTCAAAAAAATCAATTCAAATATATCAGATAACAGGGTATCTGTACTCCTATGTTCATTGCAGCATTATTTAAATTGCTGGGATAGCCAAGATATGGAGACAAAGTTTATTTGAATATGGAAACATATCCACACCTTGGATATAGAAATAATAGATGAATAGATAAGAAAGATCTGATAAATCTGTATCGACATAGATATATATTATGACATACTATTCAGCTGTGAGAAAGAAGGAAATCCTGCCATTGGTAACAACATGGATGAACCCTCAGGGTATTATGCTAAGTGAAATAAGCCAGTCAGGGAAAGATAAATATTTCATGGTATCACTTATCTGTGGAATTTTAAAAAAAACAAAAGCCAAATGCATAGAAGGAGAGTAGAAAAGTGGTTGCCAGGGTTTAGCGAATGGGACAAACAGAGAGAGGCTGGTAAGAGTATAAACTTTCAGGTATAAAATGAAAAGGTTCTGAGGGTCTAATACAAAACATGGTGACTATAATCCATAACACTGTATTGTATACCTGAATAGCTGATTTGCTAAGAAATTAGAACTTAAGTGCTCTTACCAAAAAAAAAAAAAAAAAAAGTAAATAAGTGAGGTGATGGATGTTTAATCAACTAGATGTAGGGAGTCCTTTTACAAGGTCTTAAGGATATCAACTCACCATAGTGTGTATTTTAAATATAATTTTGTGTCAATTATACTCCATTAATGCAGACATTTTTAAAAATGAAGTCACTTCACAACTTTTGTTCTACTGATAGCCATCGGAGGCTAGCCAAACCTTCCGTGCAGGTGTTTGTAACATACAGTTAATTCTAGGTACTTCTACAGCTGGCTTTCTTACTGCCCTTCTTACTAATGAGGTTTTCTATTCCGTCTATGTTAAATTACTATTATTATTAACCTCAAACTATGACCGTATAAATGTAATATTGTCTGTGTTAGATTTCCATGTGAGCTATTTTTTTAAATGACAGATGGTATTCAGATATATAAAAGCTTTTCAAAATGTAACCTTGTCAGATTCTCTGAAAAGCTTGACAATCATCTTCAAAGATGATTCCAGAAGACTTCTTTCTTCCTTCACTTCTCATCTATTTCAAATCAATGACTTTTTAAATTCTGTTTGGCCAGACAAGTAGGCTTTTGCTTTACAATAGTTATATTCCAATGGCATATATATAATTTTGTTTTTGCCTTTATAATTCTTTCCTTAAAACCATCAAATATTGAGACACAGTTTGGTTCAAGGATTTTGGAATCATTCCGGTCTTTTAAACTAACATAATCAAGTTATAGAGTGGTTTTGCTACACGTCTCATTATCATAAATTTGTTTAGTTCTGGGTTTAACAGCAGGATGAGTAAGCATGGACATATTTTCCTTCCCTTGATTTCTGTCTCCGTTTTATTCCTAAATTCAGAAGATTATTGCTATGAATTCTTCATCCATTGGTAGTGTATTGGAACTTAATTCTCATTGTTTCAAATGCCCTTAAAATTTTTATGATTATAAAAATGTCATGATGGAAATCTACTAAGTATGAAAAATATATACTTGAGTTGAAATTGTTCTAGAAATTACCAAAACTTCATTAGGGAAAATATACGCTTATAGGGCAATAAAACTTCACAGCAACAAAGAGTTGGCTCTCAGCGATATAACCAGTCATTATTGGTGTTTTCCCCTCTTCTCCCAAAGAGATTATCTATTTTTTTTAAAAAGGCAATAACAAATATAGAGATAAAACCTATAACCACACTACATTTAAATTCCAATATTTACTTATCATGGATCTGCTTCACATGAGAATGCTCAGGCAGAGAAGTGCTCAATAAAACTTTTAATTCCAAAGATGGCTGGGAGTTTTTATTTGCCAGTTGGACTGATCCTAAAAGTCTAAATACGCCTATTCATCCCCATGTTTCCAGGTAACCCTAACCTCTGCCACCAGAATAGATGCCCTCTGTCAAGGCTGGATCACAACACCACTGGCCCTGGTTCAAACGACCACATGTCTATATGTTAATATATGCAAACACATGGAAAAGTATCTGAGGCCAGATAAATGTTCACTTGGTCTATAACAGATCAGTGAGCTCTAAAATACAAGTACAAAACTCCCCATGTATTTAGTTTAGTAAAAAACATCCCATGCTGCATAGGTAATAATTTCAGCTATTTCAAAGGAAGCAAACAAGACAATGGCTGCCTAAATCCATTACTCATTTGATCTATAAGCCCAGAAAAAAAAAAAAATTTAACTTCCTCTTGCCTTGGATCACCTACGTTAGCTCCTGAATGGATATGATGGGGCATGAAGGAGGTCATTTTCTAGTCTCATTTCCATAATAACTAGAGTTCTTCTCCCTGAACAACAAGAGCAAAGTCAAGTTTTACAGGAACACCAGTTCTGAGAGTATCAACCAAAGGACCAGTATCGCTTCAGCACCGTTATCTTTCTACAAGCTCCTCTCAGGGGTGAGAACCTAATTTATTCTTCTACTGTATTACCTTCTTCCTAAAATATTAAGAATAGACAGTTGAATGAATAACTGGCATTCAGTAAAAAAAATTATTATCTCCTTAGTCCATAAATATCTTAAAAGAAAATATTTTAAGGTAAAATTGCTTATTAATAATGTAGGTGTTTTGAACAGAAGTCCTCAGTATTAAAAATTTATAGGATTTAGTTTAACCACTCTGGAAATAAAAATACATAGATCACAGATCATTTATATGTTAGCAATTTCTGACACTGTGAACATATAATATTAAATGCATTTATTAGGTAGTATCCACCCCAGATATTTTGGTGACTAAGACAGGTTAAAAATAATATTAAAGACTTAAATCTTCTCAATTTTGATTTTAAAACATTATTTCCTAATTTCCAGGAGAATTATATTGTATGGAGACAGGAGATGAACAAATTCTGATGTAACCTTGAAATCCATGAGGTAACAAGCTATCGTTTCCCACTATTTCTCCCAGGATGTCGCAACCAGTTCATGAATAGTTAATGACGCTTAAAAAGAGAAGCTGAGCTTAGTGTTCTTACCTGGCACCCTCTTCGCCCAGTTGATCATGTGCACCAGCTCCCTGTCTGCGAGGTTGGTCAGCAAGCCCATCATTGAAGCCTCATTGAAGGGTCTGGTGGGATCGTATTCGGAATAGATTACAGGGGGCTCAGCCTCCAGCAAGGCACTGATCATCTGGTCGGCGGTCAGGGACAAGACCGGGCTGTTCTTCTTAGTGTGTTTAATCAAGAGAGGGCTTGGCCAGAGGTTGGCAGCTCTCATGTCTCCGGAGAGCACCGTTTCACTCCTGCCCTCCCCGTCATCTCTCTGGCGCTTGTGCTTCAACATTCTCCCTCCTCTCCGGTCTTTCCTTATCCCTGAGAACACGGGGAAAGAAAAGAAACCCAGCTTACTCTCTCACTCCTATGAACTTTCATATGAAAACCATCCTCAATGCGAACAGCCCTTCATTTCATTTAAGAAAACAGTTTGGGGGCACAGTTGTGTTGGTAAGTGTTTGACAACCAGCTGTCCAAGAGAAAAATAAAAAGGCTTTGATTTGTTGCATTCACCGATTTCCATGGTGTAACTACTCCTACCGTGGCAGATTTCAAGCTACTTGTCTGACATCAAGCAGCTTACAAAACTCCTGAAAAGTTAACAATAGGCTTTTGTGAACCAGGACAAGCTGGTTCTAACAAATCATTGGGGTATGTGTGTGAGTGTGTGTGTGTGTGTGTGTGTGTGTGTGTGTGTGTTAACAGTTGCTATAAAAAGGACAACATTATACTGACTAGTTATTCTTGAAATATGGCTTAGCATCAAAGATTGCTTCTGCTGTAAATATTCTTTTAATAGAAAATTAAAAAGTCACTTTAAAAAAGCATTTAATAAATGTCCTTATCATCCAAGTAGACCTCTTAATGGAAGACGCAGACGAGGAATGATTTACCCAAAACACCTCTGACAGCCTCTGGACCCCACTGGCGTTCAGGTAGCCTTTCATTGTTACCAGGCTGCACCGCACCACCTGAGGAATTGACCAAGACCCTCAAGTTGTTTACCTGGTTCTAAGATTTTCACAAATGTACTTCTATTTTCCTAACATAAAAGTTTTAAAATACTTGAAAATAACTTCATGCAAAGATTTATCCAGCCGTGGTCCTCACTAACTAAGTGATAGGGAGGAAGGAGACCCCCAACCTCTTTTGCAGATTCTCTGAGGTTTGGCTCAGTATCTTCACCTGGAAAAGTCTAGGCTGTGGTGCTGAAGTGTATCAGCAGAAACAAATCGTCTGAAAGGACAAAAATTAACACGAGCTTCCATATTTCCAAAAACTCTAATCTCTGCAAAATGTGTCAGACAGCAAGAGTTCTCAGATTTCCGTAAAAGAAATAACCATTTTGGCAAAAAGTTAACACACTTATTTTAAATATTAAAGACATGAGACATAAACACTATGACATATCACCCATTCTCTTACTCCAAAACAAATGAATAACTAATGTCAGAATTTTGTTCTAATTTGTCAAGGAATTTGAACAAAAGTTAATGCCTAACTTTTATTCTTGCAGGTGTAGGTTATATATGTTAGATGATACTAAAAATATAAGGAAGCCACAGACCTTTCCTGTTTGTTCAGTATTAAAATAAGCATTTCCCAGAACTCTTAGAATAAGCATTAATTGTAAAGATTATTATGTCTAATATGCACTAAGCACTCACCATGTGGTTTAAGCACTTCATATACACTTTACGAAAATGTAAGTATTTTACAAAAAATGTAGTCCTTACAAAAATCTTGTAAGGTAAATACTGGAAAACTGCTGCTTTAGAAAGGTTAATGAACTTGTCCAAGGCCATTCTTTATTACTGTGATTTAAGATGCTGGCTCTGAAATGAAGATTTGTTTTTTCAGTTAACAGAGTTTTAAAATATTATCCATTATCAACCAAGCTGACAAATTTAAAGGCACTTAGAGGGAAGATATGTCGGATGAGAAGAGTCATATCTGACCAGCTGTTGTCCTCAGGCAGGCATTTCAGCTCTTTCATTGCAGGATGTGCTAGTGAGATTATCGTATCTGAATGAGGGCAGATGACAGCCACACTCTACTCTCAGCTCATCAGAGCACACCTGGAGCAGCGCACTTACTGCTGGATGCTGCACATACAAACAAAACAAGTCTACTCAGATTAGAGCAACGAGGTTGGCGAGGAGATGTGAAATCAGGTCACATGGAGAACCACTGAGGAACTAAGAGGGGTTTGCCTGGAGAAAGGAAGACTTAGAGGAAACATGAGTGTCACCTTCACATGGGCTGTACTGTACAAGATGGCCTCATGATCAGAATGTCTGTGTCCCCTCCAAAATTCCTATGTTGAAATCTGATCCCCAATGTGATGGTACTTGGAGGTGGGGCATTTGGGAGGTCATTAGGTCTTCAGGGTAGAGCTTTGAGGAATGAGATCAGTGTCCTGGTGAGAAGAGGTCAGAGAGCCAGCTTGCTCTCTCTACTCTGTGAGGATATGAGAAGACAGCTGTCTACAAGCCAGGAAGCAGACAACAGATTTGCCAGCAACTCTGGACATCCCAACCTCCAGAACTGTGAGAAAGAAATGTTTGCTGTTTAAGCCATGAAGTCTCTGGTATTTCTGTTATGACATCCCAAACTGACTAAGAGAGATGGGTTCAACTTGCTCTTTATGAGTCCAAATGGTAAAACAGAAGAAATATGTGGAGACTGTGAGTAGTCAGAGCTCATGATAAGGAAAGAGTTTGTCGTACACAAAGCTGACAACAAACTAGAATCTGCTGCCACAGGAAAGGATATGTTGGGTCACTGGAGGTGTTCAAGGATAGGCTAGATGAAGACTTTATAGGGATGTTACAGAAGGGATTCAGTTATCCAGTAAGCATTTGCATGAGGTGACCTTCAATATACCCTCCATCCTGAGATTGCATGACTCTGTGATCTTCCATTCATTAAGACCAGTAGCTTTGGAATGAAAAACAAGAAAAGAAGATCAAAAGCAAAGAGTTCCTTTAGGTTCACATTTCTTAGGAAATTCTGAGGTCAGAATTTTGAGAGGATGATTCTGATTGGTATTTACCTACTTTGGTGGGAAGTAGGGTCAAAAAAAAACACATTGTTCTCCAATCTTAGTCAGTGTATTATTCAATTACTTTGTCCCCCTACTTTGCAATTTTAGAAGGAGATTGAGAATGTGAGCAGATTTCATTGAAAAGCTACAGCACTCCAATAAAATCTTTTAATATCAGATCTACGTGGGAGGATAAAAGCAAGTGACTTGAATAAAGAAGAGATGGTTATAGGTGATACTGTTTTTCCCCAAGATGCAATCAAGTTACCTGAGAAATCCTGTTGCAACTACACACAAGCTTTTTACTTTTTTAAAAATGAAGGTTATGCCTTCTAGTATAACTGTAATTTATCTTCATTTTAAAAGATTTCAAAGATAAAGATAAGTAGACAGAAGATTAATGAAGCAAACATAATATTACCACCCACTTTAAAAGGCCCCAGCAGCCCTTCTACAGACAATCTGATTTCCAGAAGAACTGTAAACTCATTTCAGGTTCTAAAAGTGGCAGTTATCAAAAATTGTTTATCAAAGTATTTGTTCATTTCATAAAGATTTGTTCAATACTTACCATGTATATTCACAGATGATGTAGCGGTAAACAAAGACAGATCATGTCACCCTCCATCAAGTTTTCAGCTTGGAGGGAAAAAGCTATTAATCAAAAGTTATTCTGTATTCGTTGAATGAATGAATGAACTGTGCAAAACACGATGGAAGGGAGGAAAGGGTGCAAAGAGGAGGAGACAAAGAAGGCTTCTCTAAGAGATAAAGTTACATTTGAGCCAATACCTGAAAATTGCTTTCCTGGAGGAATTAAGAAGTAGACTACACAGGAGGTTCAGGTATAGTACCACTTAAAGCAGTGAGCTGAACCATCACACCTCTTTGAGTCTCAGTTATTCTGTTCACGTTGGTTAACACAAGACAAAAATGGCCACAGGTTTGGAATATAGAACACTAAAACACGGCTGGAGAGACCAAGGAGAGAGCGGGATATTTTTAAAATCATCAAATAGTCAAACAGGGTAAGGAATATTCCACTAGCAGTAACAACTACTTTCTCAAATTTACTCCCAAATTACTGCATTCTTTCAAATCCCAAAGTCTCTATAAAATGTACAAGCAGAACAAAAAGAGAAAGCAGTACATATTGTACGGCCAAGGGCATGAGATAGGATCCCAGGGCACAGCTCCATGAGGAAAGCAACCAATTCCACTTGTCAATAGTAACTGTCATATTATCAGTAACATACCAGCATCATTACCAGGGACAACACTGCATAAATATTTCATAGTAGTTCAAAAAAAAATAATCCAAGTGGAATTGAGAGAAACAGGTGAAAAATGGCCCAACTTCTACTTCTATTTTAACTTAGGTTAAATGAGAACTGCAGATCAGAACCAGTGATTACAGGCTGAATCACTGTGGGAGATGCAGACAGTTCCTAATTGTACTCAGTCATGGCGTCTAGGAGTGGCATGCACAACTGAAAGCCAGAGATAAGATTAAAAACTCATTCTGTGCTCCCTCCCAAGACTTTTTTCCGAAATTACTTGTAGAGCAGCAACATAGATTGATACGTACTTTACTTCTCTTCATATAAATTATTTTAACGATTTTGGTATGTTAACAAAAGATCAGACTATCAGTTCACGAAACAGAGGGGAAACAAAACAAAGAGCCATTTAGATCATGCAAATATAAACTGGCAGCCTCTTGACAGTCAAGATACGCGTATCGGTAACAAACAGCACCTTGGCTTATAATGCTAAATAAACAAGACATGTTGTCATTCAGAACTCAAAATGTCATTTTCCAGAATGATTGAGCAAAATACTCAGCAGCTCAATACACATGTCGTGTAACGAATACACGAACATACAAACATTGGCTCTCACGTTGTGTCACTCATTAGACAAGTTTGTCCAAGTAAATTTCTTTACACTCCTGTTTAAAAATGTTAAGCTTTACAGTAATCCAAGGGTTACCCACTGGTTTCATATGAGGGCTTGAGAAACAAACTAGCTCTCTTCTAGCAAGCTCACCATACATGTGAAATGCCACCAGTATGAATTTTACCCCCGTGGGTTCAGCCTTCTCTAATATGCATGTCACACTGTTGTCAGGGTTTAGAGGCTGAGTATGGAATCTCCACTTAGTAGCACTCAGTGTGAATTTGAATGATTCTAATTCACTAGGAAGTGTTAACTTAAGGGAATTTATTAAACTAATAAACATAGACCACTGGAATGAAAATGAAGGGGAGAG